TCTATTAATATTTATTAATTTTTATTTATTTTTAATAATTTTTTATAATTTTTTTTTTTAATTTTAGTTAATTTTTATGATACTACCATACAAAAATCTAAAAACCACAGAGCACGTCCTTATTTATTTAGTCTACAATTATAATTTTCAAGTTCCAAGGTTCAAAAAATTATACTTGTATACAAATTTTTACCCCCGTTTTCCCTCCTTAAAATGTGAAAATCCACAAACCATGAAACATCATTTTTTATTTTTAATCAGTAGCTCTAATTCAAATTTTTATGTTTCATACTTTAAATAACAAAAAATATATACATACTATTAAACAAATTTTCACCCCCCATTTCCCCCCTTAAAATGTTAAAATGCAAAAACCCTGAAACACTTCATTATTTATTTATGATAAGAACCTACAATTCAAATTTTCAAGTCCCTACCTTTAAAAAAAAATCGATATTTCCAAATAAACTTTCACCTCCTGTTTCCCCCCCTTAAAATGTGAAAATCTAAAAACCCTAAAACACATCATTATTAATTTGTATTCATTAGCTGCAATTCCAATTTTCATGTTTCTAACTTTAAAGAGAACCAAAAACATAGATGCTCCCAAATAATTTTTTACCCCCCTATTCCCCCCCCCCCCCCCCCCCCTCCCCCTTAAAATGTGAAAATCCAAAAACCCTGAAACACGTCATTAATAATTTGTAGTCAGTAGCTGCAATTCCAATTTTTATGTTTCTAACTTTAAAAAGAACAAAAAAAATAGATAGTCCCATACAAACTTTCACCCTTTGTTTCGCCCCCCCCCTTAAAATGTAAAAATCCAAAAACCCTGAAACACGTCATTATTTATTTATGCTTAATAGCTGTAATTTAAATTTTCGTGTTTCTAACTTTAAAGAACAAAGTTTCATTAAAAGCTCCTTCCCCCCATTTCCTCCAATTTCCCCCCTTTAAAGTTAAAATTTCCAAAAATCCTTTCTTAGCGGATGCTCACGTTATAAAATAAACCTATGTTCCAAATTTCAGCTTTCTAGGCTCAGTAGTTTTGGCTGTAGGTTGATAGGTCAGTCAGTCAGTCAGGACAAACAATTTTATATATACAGTATGGTTCAAATGAAAGGAATAAATTCATTATAATGGAAGTAGTTGGTTTTTCGAAAAAATGCTCGGACAGGTCAATTTTGTTTACTTAAAGCGCAATTTTTTAAATAGAATTCATTTTTCCCCCACTTCCCATTTTTGGGCAGTGACGTCATTGACAATTTTTTTAAATAGTAACCCCATTTTTTTTTTCTTGATTTTGATAGATCTTGCAATTTCCTACTCGAAAACATAATATTTGAAATATCTTACATAACAATTTTTTTTTTGAATAAAAGCCATTTAAAGATTAGACACATAAATTTAATTTTATTTTGAGAACACTATAAATGAATAAAAGATAATTATTTGTAATTAAGTGCTTGATCTAACAAAATAATAATAATAATAATAATAATAAACAATTTAATGACAATTTCACAAATTCTTTTTTATTATTATTATTATTATTATTGATTTTGTTAGATTAAGCACTTAATTACAAATAATTATATTTTATTCATTTATAGTGTTCATAAAATAAAATTTATGTGTCTAATCTTTAAATGGCTTTATTCAAAAAAAATTGTTATGTAAGATATTTCAAATATTATGTTTTCGAGTAGGAAATTGCAAGATCTATCAAAATCAAGAAAAAAAATTGGGGTAACTATTTAAAAAAATTGTCAATTACGTCACTGCCCAAAAATGGGAAGTGGGGGAAAATTGAATTCTATTTAAAAAATTGCACTTTAAGTAAACAAAATTGACCTGTCCCAGCATTTTTTCGAAAAACCAACTACTTCCATTATAATGAATTTATTCCTTTCATTTGAACCATACTGTATACTAACTATTGCCCACGGCTTTGCTCGCGACTTTGATCGCATATAGTCGTGTTATTAATATAAAAAAATACATGACTTTTTTTTATTAATTTTATTGATTTTCATTAATTTTTTTATATTTATTCATTTTTATTTATTTTTATTCATTTTTATTCATTTTTATTCATTTTTATTCATTTTTATTAATATTTATTCATTTTTATCAATTTTTATTAAGTTTTATTAATTTTTATTAATTTTTATTAGTTTCTATCAATTTTTATTAATTTTTATTAATTTCTATTAATTTTTATTAATTTTTATTAATTTTTAATAATTTTTATTAAATTTTATTAATTGTTTTTAATTTTTGGTAATTTTTATTTATTTTTATTTATTTTTATTAATTTTTAATAGTTTTTACCCCCGTTTTCCCCCCTTAAAATGTGAAAATCCAAAAACCATGAAACACCTCATTATTTATTTATTATGAGAACCTACAATTCCAATTTTCAAGTTCCCACCTTAAAAAAAATCGATATTTCCAAATAAACTTTCACCCCCCGTTCCCCCCTTAAAATGTGAAAATCCAAAAACCCTAAAACATGTTATTATTAATTTGTACTCATTAGCTGCAATTCCAATTTTCATGTTTCTAACTTCAAAGAGAACAAAAAAAGTTATACTCCCATACAAACTTTTGCCCCCGTTTGCCCCCCTCAAGATGTAAAAATAGAAAAACCCTAAAACACATTATTATTAATTTGTACTCAGTAGCTGCAATTCCAATTTTCATGTTTTTAACTTTAAAAAGAACCAAAAACATAGATACTCCCAAATAAATTTTCACCCCTCCATCTCCCCCCTTAAAAATGTGAAAATCCAAAAACCCTGAAACACGTCATTAATAATTTGTAGTCAGTAGCTGTAATTCCAATTTTCATGTTTCTAACTTCATAGAGAACAAAAAAAATCTATACTTTCATCCCCCGTTTCCCCCCTTAAAATGTAAAAATCCAAAAACCCTGAAACACGTCATTATTTATTTATGCGCAGTAGCTGTAATTTAAATTTTCATGTTTCTAACTTTAAAGAACAAAGAGTTTCATTAAAAGCTCCCTCCCCCTTTTCCTCCCATTCCCCCCCTTTAAAGTTAAAATTTCCAAAAATCCTTTCTTAGCGGATGCTTACGTTATAAAATAAACCTATGTTCCAAATTTCAGCTTTCTAGGCTCAGTAGTTTTGGCTGTACGCTGATAGGTCAGTCAGTCAGTCAGGACAAACAATTTTATATATATAGAATAGATATATGCTGCGTTTGAGAATCCACATCGGATGCATTTTTTACATCTCGAGCGTTTTTTTATCCACATCGGACACATCTATCCCATTACGTTTACGTATACTGAATCACGTGATCAAAGATTTTTTACATCTCAGATGCATCGGATGTGGATTCTCAAACGCGGCAATAGATTACTCTTTAGTAGTTTTGTAAAGAAGAATCGCCATCAATAAAAATAAACTTAATTTGTTGACCATTTTTCATCTTTCGTAAGGGTTAAGAAACATTGATTATAGTTATAATCGTTAGTTTTCAGAGCCATTTAAAAGCGCCACGCCCATTATTTGCTCATGATTATGCTTAAATGCTAGTGAAAGTACTGTCAATTGTTTTCATCTGTTAAATTTAGTTACCCAGGACTGAAAGTACTAGCCATACATGATTATTCTTTATAAAAACTACTAAACAGTGATGAGTGCATTTAAGATTTAATAAATATACTTTAAACCCGGCTAAGGGTCAATATAATTTGAAAAGATCAGAAGTCTGTATCTGCCTGAGCAAGAACAAGCTATGCATTGTAAAGGGGATCCTTACCGGGCATTGCCGACTCAAAGGACACCTTAGTAAACTGAGAGTAGTAGAATACAGTAAATGCAGTTTCTGTGAAGAGGAGGAAGAAACCTCCATTCACATTTATCAAAACCTATCTGAGTACTTTAGGTAATCTTTAGGAAGTATTTTTTCTAAATTTAGTACTTGTGTTCTACCACTTTTTCGTAAAAATTGTCGATACTATATGCAAGCAATTGTTTTGTCATATATTCTATCTTCTGATTCATTAAAACACATATCCACTTGTTTTTATTATATAGTTGTCTTGAAAATCGTTTTGTATATGAACCTTTTGTTGTCTGTCTGAGTAAGTTTTCATTCGGGAGTAGACCTTCCCAAATATTTAATATGACATTTTTCAGTCAGAAAAAATCTCGAAAAATTAGCTTTTAATATATTTTATACACTACTTATTTAATCGCTGTTGCCGTAATAATTTTACTAGCAGATTTTTACTTGTAACCCTGATCAATTTTAGCCACATTTGTTTTTAGATAGGAGTTTGTTCACCTTATAGTCCGTACTTGATTTAACTTTTTTAATATAGAAATTGTATTTTCTAAAAGAAAAGACAAATGAAATTTATTTCGCTGAAATTTACCTAATATTTTTTATTGCAACATCGTATCTATGACATTGTATATTGTGATGAATTCAAACAAACATTTGAAACGTTTCTATGAAATATTTTTTATTAAAAGTTATAAATTGTAATTTAAAATGTAAGCTTTATCGGAAAGGTAACAAAAATGCTCGGCTAGGTTGATTTTTAGATGCCAACGCTTTGTTGATAGTACCATTTAAAAGAACATTTGTTTATGGACTCCAAATTTCGTAATATTTTACAATATGTTTGATATAAAAAATATTTTAGTCCTTGTTACAAATACAAACATTTTGTAAGAATTTTTTGTCAATTTTTCTCCATTCACGAAAAATTGTGCTCTGTTAATTGTTTAAATTAGTAAAAATCGAATTATCTGAGCTTTTTTTTTTGTTACTTGTTCAATAAAACAAGACATCTGCTGTTCCGTTCATTTTGCTTAACCCTGTATAAATATAAAAAATGTTAACCATATCGAAATGATATTAATGCAGATATTTCATATTTGTTTTAAAGAGATTTGAAAACAATATAACTATATGACTAAAATTTTAAATGTTTTATTTAAATAAATACCGACTTTCAGCTGTATGCGAAAAATGTGGAGCGATAGGTGTAAAACATGCCTTCTACACGAGAGAGCGTCGTTTTTGCAGCATGGCTTGCGCCAGAGGCTACAGTGGCCTTATCCCTGAACCATTACCCCAACAAAATCAAAATACTCCCGATAATAAACAGCAATATGCCAAATATAGGTTCACGATGAAAATGGTGGATGATTTCACCGATACTTATTTAGATCACCCATTACCGCAATTATCTCCATTACCAGAACTACCTCCCATTGATGAATCTCTTCCTCTGATAAGGTAACGTAGCTTGTCAAACTTGCGACATTATTTACAATCCATCAATATTATTCTCAGGAGGAAACCTGCCGAATTGGCAAATTCGTTTGATTGGGATTCACAATTTGCGGATCCTTACTTTATAGCAGCGCCAGTGACCTGTTTCAAGCATGCGCCTATGGCCGATATTTGGGACAACGTTATGGTAGGAATGAAAGTTGAAGTAGAGAATACAGACTGCGAAAATGTATCTGAGGCATTTGCCGACTCATTTTGGGTTGCTACTGTCATGAGGATTGTAGGGTATAAGGCTCAACTGAGATACGAAGGTAAACAAGACTAACTAATCTACTGTTATTACTGATCGATTGTTGATATTCATTTGTCTTCAAAAAAATACAAATTTTGCTATACTGTAGAAAAATTTAAGTAATGTGTAGAGCCGGGCGGGCAAAGTGGCGCAATCGTTAGGATAACTATTATTAATTTTTAATTGAGTTTGGGTTAATTATAAAACAAATAGAAATACAATGGGGAATTATCTTCAATTTTGTTTATTTCAGAAATTGATAGATTTTCCGATTTAAATATAGGTTTATACAGTTGATACTTTTTAAAACTTTTAGCGTAGGCAGTTTAGAGGGACTAGTCGTGTGGTAATGTTGGCCTGCCGTCTAAACTGGCAACATTGATATAATTTGTTTCCTTTTCCCACTAATGCTAACTCTCTTTGACATTAGCAAAGCGAATTGGAAAGCGTTCTGTATCCGACACTATATATGAAATAATATTTGTTAGTATGTATTTTAAATTATTGGAAATAAAAGGTTAGAGATTAATGACTCTAGAACCTCTTTTATGTAAACGTGTAAACTATACAAATGATACTTTTATTAAAAATGTTGGTGGTTTAAACAATAACTGACCAATGCACTAATTGGCACCTGGCCTTTTTACAATCATCACAACCTCCATAATAAGATGAAGACAAAAAGAGAGTGATTGCGCCACTATGTCCAGCTCTATTATTTAAACAAACGGTGTAAGAGGTAATAATTTTATATTTATATTATTAGGATTTGGTTCGAATGATGCCAAAGACTTCTGGGTGTCCCTGTGCTCGAATCAGGTACATCCAGTGGGATGGTGTGCTACCAGGGGCAAGCCTCTAATCCCGCCAAAGACAATCGAGGACAAATACAGTGATTGGAAAGATTTCTTGCGAAAACGCTTGACTGGTGCCAGGACATTGCCTTCGAATTTTAGCAATAAAGCTTCAGAAAGTCTCAAATCCAGGTTTGAATGTGGCCTTAATCTCGAAGTCGTTGACAAAAATCGTATTTCGCAAGTTAAGGTTGCAATAGTACATAAAATCGTTGGGAAGAGATTAAACGTTAAATATTATGATCTGCCGCCTGATGATGGAGGATTTTGGTGTCACGAAGATTCGCCTTTATTACATCCTGTGGGCTGGGCTAAAAAGGTATTTGTAATATTTTTTTTTAAATGACTTTATTTTTCAATATAATCTCCCTTAATCCTAAAGCATTCGTCTCGGCGATGTTTCAGCATTTCAAGAGCATCATGGGTTATTGAAGGTCATTGTAATAATATATTCAGCAATTTAAAGGTTTTAATGAATCTGTTTACCTCAATTTTTTATACATTATTCATACATTTATATTACGATCACCTGTAAGTCAAATGGCACTATCAATTATCTTTAAGTCGTTCTGGAGCGCCACGGCAAATAATAATAATGGCGTCCCTTCCCAGACAAGCTTAGCTTTATTATTTTTCTTAATTTTTCGTAAAAAAGCTCAAAATGTACAAATGACACCACAGGTTTCTAGTCTAACAATAATACTCTATACACATATCGAAAGTTTTAATCTGACAGACTACTGTAAATAGCTCAGGGTAGGAGCTTGGGTATCAACCATTTAATATTAAAATTTTACAGAAACATAATAATCTGTCAATTCATCACACTCGCACCTTTTTTGTTTAATAAAATCAACATATCCAAAGTAAATTCAAAATACACATCTTCTAGGTGAATCATCACCTAGTGGCTCCTATCAACTATCTGGAACGAGTGAATCAGGGAATTTTCGACGACGATGACGCCACCGAAGATCTGTTCAATCCGTACCAGGTGGGATTCATGGAGAACGCCGCGTCAGGTTTCTGCGTGGGGATGAAATTAGAAGCCATCGATCCGTTGAATCTTTCTTCAATATGCGTCGCTACTGTCATGGACGTCCTTCATTACGGTTACATCATGATTCGTATTGATACCTACGATTCCGACGCCACGGGGGCCGATTGGTTTTGTTATCACGTGAAATCGCCATGTATATTTCCGGTGGGGTTCTGTGAGAGGAACAATATTCCTTTAACGCCACCCAAAGGTAAGTTCAATGAATTGCTTTTAAGGTAACTACAAAATAAAATGGTGAAATAATTAGTAGATTGAAAAATATTTTACCACTTAAGTACGGTATATTATGCATATGTCAGATCCAATATTGAATACTCACGGATGTTTCAAATGTGTTGACACTATAATTTAGTAGACACTTTTCGATTATGTTTAATCAGCTACAACAAAGAAGGGGAAGGCAGTATATATTTATTTAATATCCCATTCATTAAATAGTAATAAAATCCTAAATAATAATTTTAAATTAATTTAAATATATACATATTAAAAAACAATTAATTAAACATCTATTCCTCACATATACATAAATAGTTAGAAAATTCTGATGGAGAAGTAATCAATTTCTACATTTAGTCTATTAGCAGATCTTTTCACTCTAGGAATAAAAAAATGAGGACCATAATTTGTTCTATGGAAAGGTTGAAAGAATGTATTAATATTCCTAGTTACTTTAGAGCAGGCCTGAACAACATACGGCCCGCCAGTGTCGTTTTCTTGGCCCTTTGTCCCTTTACCAATTTGGCCCGCTTTCAGTAATAAAATTGAATTTATAGGCCTTTTCATAATGTGATGAGCGCAAGCGCAGACGCCATGTTGAAATAGCGCCAATTCAAAAGTTTCATACTGTTTTGATAAAAAATGGCTGGAAAAGCAATATTATCTCTACATACAAGTTAATCATTAGAAACAATGGTTGATGGTGATTTACATTTTTATAACTCTGTGGAAGCACATAGTTGTGAGCAATTGAATAGGTGCTTGAAGTGACCTGGACATTCGGAACAAGGAAAAAAGTGTGCTGATAGAGTGGTTAAATTTCAATACTTGTTTACTGTATAAAAATTAATGAAAACAAATAATAATTATGTGTGTAATCTAATTAATAATGCCAACTATTAGTAATTGCAAAAACACTTTAACATGAAAGTTAATCACGAGTATAATAATAAGATTTTTTTCACGTGGGCATTTTAACATGCTTGTTTACAAAAAACAGTACGAAAAAGATGGCTGATACTGACGCATGTGCATAAAAAAAATTGTGATGAAAAGGCTTATTAATTGCCTTAATAGATATCAACTCATATATGTGATAAAACTTTACTGAATAAAACTTTGATGTAAGTATTTAAAATAAAACTTAATAAATAATGTTTATTTTATTTAAAAAACAATATTTTTTGAAAATAAACTATAAATGAATCTTTTTGAGCCTCAAGATCAATGTATTTGAGCGTTGCACCTGTGAAAATCCTTCGCCTTCTATTTTTATCACTGTTTTTAGAATACAAATTGTGCCATCACTAATATAGCTTATTTAAACAGTAGATTGTATGTACGCCAAAGGGCTAATGTTAAAAAAGCATTAACTTATTAGTGCTGTCGTAACCTTCGTGATTGAGGCCCGAACTATTTGACAGATGCAGCAGTATAAGGATACACAAGTAGATAATCTATATTTTGTTTATCTCTGTGACCCTGTGTTTGGTTATCTCATACATTTGCAGTTTTCTATTTAATAAAATCAGATTGAAAACTCTTGTACGTCTTGTAGTGTTTGTGAAATGATTTAAGTAGTTTGCAGCCTTTTTTTTTCTGTGTAAATTTACAATAAAAACATTGTTTTAGAGATGGGTTGCTTTTTAGTAAACTGCTATTTGACAACTGTTATTTGAACTAAGCAGCTTTCAACTGCTATCGGCTATTACAAATCGCTGCTTCTTAAATAGCAGTTTACCATTTTCACTAATATTTCGATTTGAGATACGCCGATCTTTGTGACTATGTTGTGAGTGCATGGTGCGCGTGATGCGACGATGACAATGGCAAGTTGCTGATGCGAATGTCGTATTTTATACGTGCACTACGGATGTTTATGTTTTTGTGTACAATAACAGTTATGGTTAGACCAAAAATGCTGTGCCCTCTTACAAATATTTTCAGCAAATAAATTTGTTTTAAGAAAATAAGTAACAACACAAAACTTACGTCAGAGAGGACGTGATGGCATACAAAGACTAATTTTTTAATTGTTACCATTCCCGTTGTCGTCGATTTATTCTGACAATTTGGGGAACCACCGGCACAGGTTGATATTTAACTCGACATTATAAGACAGCTTAACAGATTTGAACGCGATCACCGATCGACTAGTAAATAATGAAATACCGGTAAACACTTAAGCAGAGTAGTCGAACTACATGTTGCGATGATTCCAGGTTATAACCTAGCTAGTTGTTTTAGTCGTTCATTGTATCAACGAGGTGGTGTCTGCATATGGTCCAAAGAACATCTCATAATTGAATCGATTTCCTTTGAAGAATATTGCATAGAGAAGGAAATAGAAATATGTGGTATAAGGTGGATATTCAATGGCGATACATTTATAATTCTCTCATGTTATAGGTCACCTAGCGGACATCCTACAACATTTTTATCCAATCTTAACTTAATTCTAAATAAAATTTATCAGCCCAAGTATTTCATAGTTCTCTCTGGGGATTTTAATCATACATCTATGAACTCAAATCAAAGCTTTGCCTTTGAACAGTTAGTCACATCATATGGGCTCATCCCAAAAAATTTTACTCCTACTCGAACTACCAAAACATGTAGTAATGTACTTGATCAGATTTACACAAATTACAAAGATACTGTAGGAATCGTAACTTTAAATACAGACTCAGATCATGACAATTTCCTGTTAAAATTCAATAAGCTAAAACTAAAAACCAATCCTAGCTCATATCAAAGTCGATTAATGGGAGAGACTAACATTAACGACCTAATAACATACCTTTCCAAAGAAAACTGGAATGGGATATATCAAGAAAATACTACCAACTCAAAATTCAATGTGTTTCACAATACTTTAACATACTATTTTAACGCTAGTTGCCCTTTAAGACAAATAAATGCTTCCAGATTACCACCTCGCTGTTGGGTAAATAAGAACATAAAAGAGTCCTCTAATAAATTAAAAGATCTATTTCAATTGAAGAAAAAATTCCCCGAGTTGCATGAATGTTATCATCATGCTAAAATAAATCATAGAAAGCTTGTTCAAAACACGAAATCCGAATATTATAATAATAAAATTAATGATTCGGCAAATAAAAATATAGCAACATGGAAAGTCATAAATGAACTACAAGGTAAGACAAAGACAACAAAGAGTATTTCAATTCACAACGATGGCAAAATTATTGAAAACCCAACAACTATAGCTGATATGTTCAATCAGTTTTTTACTTCGATTCCATATGAAACAATTAACAGAATCTCAACTCCAAAAACAAATCATAAATATAATAACAATAAGTCACCCACAAATAGCTTTTTTACTTCTTATGTCTCTGAATCAGATGTAAACACAGTCATAAAACAAAAAATCAAAAACAAACCATCCAGCGGTTTTGACGATATCTCTGGAAACTTGATAAAGAAAATCGCAGAATATATTTTAACACCACTAACTCATATAATTAATTATTCCCTGGAAGAAGGTATTTTTCCCGAAAGATTAAAAACATCTATAGTAACGCCTATATTAAAAAGAGGTAACCCGCACGATATGTCTAATTATCGACCTATCTCAATGACTTCTACTCTTTCAAAAATATTCGAATACATAATGCTGGAGCAACTAATGAAATACCTTAACTTAAATCAGATTATATCTGAATCTCAACACGGATTCCGTCCTAAATACTCTACAAATACAGCCATTATCTCCTTATACGAAAAAGTGCTTCAATCTATTGAGTGTAGTGGGGGTTCGGCTGGGATTTTCTGTGATCTTAGCAGAGCCTTTGACTGTGTTCAGCATGATGTTTTATTAAATAAACTTCACTCATCTGGAATTAGAGGCAATCAAAATAAATGGTTTGAAACATATCTTACAAATAGACCCCAAATGGTTAAAAGTAACAACTCAGGAAAACAGTGTTTCTCTCAAGAAATAATAAATAATATAGGAGTGCCCCAAGGGTCAGTGTTAGCTCCCATACTTTTCACAATTTATGTAAATGAACTTCCAGAATTACTTTACCATGCATTCACAATTCTCTATGCAGATGATTCGACTTTCTTGTTTTCTGATCCCATTGAAGAACAATTGAAAAATAAAATCGATAGGTCAATTAAAATATTCTCGGAATGGGCTAGTAATCTCTCATTATTATTTAATATTACAAAAACTAACTACATTTATTTCCATACATACCAAAATTCTAATATACCTTGTCTAGATATGTCTGTAAACAACACACACATAAATACAGTTGATTCCACAAAATTTCTAGGAATAACATTCGATGAAAATCTATCGTTTAAAACTCACTGTCAAAATTTAGCGACAACCTTAAACTCACAATGTTTTCAACTTCGTAACCTTAAATGCATTTTAAAACCTCACCATCTTCGTCAAATTTACTTCGCAAATGTACATTCTAGGTTGATTTATGGTATCTGTGTATGGGGCGGATCATCCCATGCTAATGAAGTATTTATATCTCAGAAGAGAATTATAAGATGCTTGGCTGGTATTCTACCAACAGATTCCTGTCGCCCTCTATTTAAAAAACTTAAAATCCTTACCGTATTCGGAGTATATATTTTAGAACTTTTAATATACATATATAAAAACAAATCGAATTTTAAACGTAATAGCGACTTTCATTCATATAGCACCAGGAACAAAGATGAACTTGTTCCTCTGTTAGCACAGCTAAATATTTGTGCTAAGTCACCAACAATTCTTGGAATAAAATTATTCAATAAACTGCCACAGAGCATAAAAAATGAATCAACATTAAAAACATTTAATTATCGAATAAAACAACAGCTTCTAGAAATATGTCCATATTCAGTGCAAGAATATTTTCAATATAAATTTGTACCACATGCTTCACCACCAAACTGTTCTAGATAAATTTATACAAATGCCCCTTTTCGCCTACCATTCTACGTTTGTCTCTTCTATATTTGTCTGTATTGTTTTGTTTAATTACTTTTATTTATTGTATACACCTTTATATTTATAATTCTGACGTGTCCAATAACATTATAACTGTTTAAATGGATTAATAAAGAATAGAATAGAATAGAATAAACTGCTATTAAAAAGCAGCTATTTGAAAGCTGCTTTTTAGAAAAAGCAGTTACTGTTATAACTGTTATTTAAAAATAGCAGTTTTGCCCATCCCTACATTGTTTATACCTAGTAACTATAACCTTTGGAGCAACACCGGCAATGGAACTAATGCCGAATATTTTCCCATTGTTATATAAGGTTAAATCCGACCATGATCTTAATGAATAGAAGCTTGAGACATACCTTCTGATATGTGCTGGTTCCTAGAAGGTGTGGCTGTATTCAAAATCACATCTTACTGAACCTTTTAAAGTAGTTTCTACACAACACAATTTCACAAGTCAGTATCATCACGCTGCTGTCAATGGAATAAACTAAAATTACCAAGCTCTTGTGCTGTTAAAAACGTGTCAAAAGAGGGGAAAACTGAATTAAAAACTCTATAAATACAATAATTGTTAAAATTCTAAACAAAAAAAAATAATTTGATCTCTGTTCAAGGTTACGATCCCATAACTTTCAACTGGCGTACTTACCTCATGCAAACCAACAACAGGCCTGCGGATCCCTCTCTTTTCAACACGTTCGTTCCTCTGCACGGTTTCCAACAAGGAATGAAGATAGAAGCAGCTGACCTCATGGACCCTCGTTTGGTCTGTATCGCCACGGTGGCCAAAGTTGCCGGTAGATTACTTAAGGTAAAAGTCATGTACGTTGTCCATACATTTCGAAAACTATTTTTGCCCTATTTAGGTGCATTTTGACGGCTGGGAAGAAGAATATGACCAATGGTTGGACTGTGAAAGCCCTGATATTTACCCTGTAGGATGGTGTCAGAGTGTTGGCCACAAGTTGGAAGGACCTCCAGCGTTTGCAAAAATACTGGCGCCAGTCATGAAGTCCCCAAAAGGTACAACAAAAAGTTAATTTAATAGTAGAAGTTGCGTAGAGATAAAAACGCCTAGTTTAGATTTCCGTTGTCATTTTATTCTAAGAGTAATGGAAACTGTAGTTTTTGATTTCTAGTTTTCAATGGCAAAAAATCATCCTATGGATAAAGCGTATGAATCGCTTGTTCAAAAACAACCTAAGTCACTTTTTCAGAGTTTTTAGGAGGTAAAAAAACGTTTTGAACTCTCGTTACTCGAGAGAAATTTTTTCATGCGGTACCTGTCAATTTTTTTGTTAATTTCTGTTAATTTTTATTAATCTTAAGCTATTTTTATTGATTTTTAATGAATTTTATTATTTTTTAATATTTTTTTTTATTAGGTTTTAATAAATTTTGTTGTTTTTATTAATTTTTAGTATCTTCTATTTTTTAATAATTTTTATTATTTTTTATCAATTTTTAATAATTTTTATTAATCTTTATTTATATTTATTTTATTTTTTTAATTACGTTTATTTATTTTTTAAATTTATAATTATTTATAAGAACTTACCTTAAGTGAAATTCGATCTTGATTCTTGATTATACACTGAATCTCAGATAATCGCAGTTGCGACAGAGCTTTAAAAAAAGTGAGTCGTGCCACTCACTAACAATTTTAAAACAACAATCATGAAATTTATGAATGAAACATTTTGTCTCCATGTTGTAATGTCTTTGGTTATAGTAAATTTCGTATCAAATAAATTTTTAGTTTTCCATATTATGATATTTTTAAAAAGGTGAAATTTTTTGTTTTTACTCTATAACTCGAGAATGGTAACTGTTAAAGGGTTTAAAATATAGCAATGTAGGCACATGATAATACAAACAAACTTTTTTTTATAAATATCTCGCTTGTATCCAGAAAACATTTTTAATACCTTTGCCATTTAAAACTAGAAATCAAAAACTACAATCTCTACTACCCAAACAATTTTATGTATAAAATGTCAACGGAATGATAGAAACGAGCTCTAAATACCTAATATAATGTTTATTTCAACAGTAAAGAAAAAAAATAGGAAAAAGAAATGTAAAGACAGTCCACCAAAACCGTGCCCTCAAGCAACTTCCACCGTAAATGAAAAGCAAAAACTCGATATAAAATCAGAAGAATTCATAGAACAACCAGAACAAACAGAAATTCCAGATGTTCCGCAACCGTCGGAATGTTCGGAACCCCCAGAACCGCCGGAACCCGTAGAGCCTCCGGAACCCGTAATAAATGAACCAGTCGAATCTTCGGAACCCATGACGACGACGGTTTTGGAGGAAGAGGAGGAGGATTCTACTCCTCTTTCTCAAAGCGAAGAGATAGGGAAAAATAACGAAGAAAACGAAATTAATGAAATCAATGATGATAACCAAGGGCCGGAAGCAGGACAAGAACCCGCGGGACCCGATCAGAGCTTACCAGTTTCGTCGGAAGTCCAAGAACCTCCAGTCGAGAGGAAGGTTACCTCTTATGTTAATGTAAGTTCTTTTTTTTGTTAAAAAAATTGTTTATTTAAATATTTTTTTATCTTATCGAAGTCACCAAAATAGATGAACGACACAGAAAGGAAACACAGGGTTACAGCGAAAACCCTAGCAATGCTTTATGCTAGATATATCTGTAAGCAACACACTTATAAATACAGTTGACGCCACAACATTATTAGGAATAACATTGATGAAAATTTGTCGTTTAAAACTCAGTGTCAAAATTTAGCGACGCCCTTAATTTCACAATGTTTCCAACTTCGTAACCTTAAATGCATTTTAAAACCTGACCATCTTCATCAAATTTACTTTGCAAATCTACATTCAAGGTTGGTTTATGGTATTTGCGTCTGGGGCGGATCATACCATGCTAATGAAGTATTTATATCTCAGAAGAGAATTATAAAATGTTTGGCTGGGATTCTACCAATAGATTCTTGTCGCCCACTATTTAAAAAACTTAACATCCTTACCCTATCCGGAGTATATATTTTAGAACTTTTAATGTACATATATAAAAATAAATCAAATTTTAAATGCAAAAGCGACTTTCATTCATATAGCACCAGGAACAAAGATGAACTTGTTCCCTGATTGCGCTTCTAAATATATGTGCTAAATCACCAACAATACTTGGAATAAAATTATTTTAAACTGCCACAGAGCATAAAAAAATGTACCAAAATTAAAAACATTTAATTATCTAATAAAACAACAGCTTTTAGAAATATGTCCATACTCAGTACAAGAATATCTTCAATATAAATTTGTACCACATGCTTCACCACCAAACTGTTCTGGATAATAAATTTTCATGTCTATTTTTTGCCTTCAATTTTTTACGTTTGTCTCTTCTGTTTGTGTGTATTGTTCCGCATCTTTACATTTATAATTATGACGTGTCTAATAACATTATAATTGTTTAAATGGATTAATAAAGAATTGAAATTGGTGGAGCATTGTCAAAGTGATCATGGTTTTCTTAGTGTAGTTTCAATAAATAGTTTACCATTTTACTTCTGTGATGGCACTGGCCATTACTTTCCTTTCTGTGTTGGACTTTTAAAAGATTAATAGAAGCACTCTTTTATATGTATATTTTTTTATTGATTTTTTTTTTAGTCAACTTCAAGTAGTCCAAATAAAGTGATACCACGCCTAGTCGATGCCTCAGGGAGTACTTCTGAACAAGGTGATCTTTGTCCCGAAGAATGGAATATATTTGATGTCGCTCAATTTCTTAGGGTCAATGATTGTGTTAATTATTGTGATGCTTTCAGTAAACAGGTGAGATAAAAATTAACCATTTAATTGAAGAGGATTCTGTACATTTTATTATTTTATCAAGAAACCATGTGTATTTCAGTATTTTCTATTTACTATTGTATGATTTTTCATCAAAAAGGATCAACGCACATTTGGTTGAAACGGAATTTAATTACTATCCCTATAATGCTTATTTGTCAATCCTGTGTATTTGTCGGGTTTTTAAATTTTAGAATTTCTAAAATTGGGGCATTCGTTTTTTGACATCAACCTTTTGTGACTTTTAATATGTACATGCATTTCAATAACATCCTGTATATATTGAAAAGACTTGCAAAATGATACTTTTATAACAAGAGTCTTATTGTGTCGGCTGTAAAGTCTACCTACTTCCTCTAACTTTAATTATCTGACTTGATTTCTTAGATAATCTCGCGTTATTCTCTATACATATCACGTCCATACTATTTAAGTTATTTTTCCTCAAATGTTTGAATGATTTGATTTTCGTTTTATTGTTGCAGAACATGAACACGGGGCAGTTGTAATTTCCTTGATGTTTACCTTAATTTTTTTGTTTTAGAAAATAGACGGTAAGATGCTGCTAGCTTTGAGCAAAGAGGACATCTTAGAATTTACGGGGGGCAAAGTGGGCCCATCGCTAAAGATCTACGACCTTGTTCAGCAGCTAAAAATCAAGGTGAACCCCTCTCAAGTTCGCCATATGAAAGCAAATATCAAAAAATTCTTATAGTGCCTATCGATTCTTATTGAATTTAGAATTTTTATTGTGAATTTACTTTAAATGACTGTATATATTTCTAGACTAAGCCTATATAATTTACATTTTATTCAGTATTTATCTTTTGGCATTTATGTGTGTGACTTTAGTTGCTCATTATTTACTACGGATATTGGATATTATGATTTTTGAAAAGAATAATAGAAGAGCAATTATTTTTTTATGGTTTTATTTAACCCAAATAAATAAAATATTTTAAACAGATGGTTATATTTTTGACTAAGTTACATGAAAGTAATTCGGTTCTATATAATATAGGCTGTAACAAAAAGGTAAGTCAAATTATATCAAATATTCCGCAGTAAAAGTAGGTACTTGTTTGAAATTATAAATTGTAAGCATTAAAATACAAATAGCAGGACAAAGATTGGAGAAAACAAGAGGATCAAACAAGGAGACAGTTTTCTATGAACAGGATGAAGAAGCTAATAAAAAAAGAGATTAAATTAAACAGTAATTGGATACAGAAATATACAACCTGTAAGACTTCGTAGTCTTCTATATATAGAAATAGAGAATGTGAAAGTAAACAAATAAAACAAAACTGATGATAGTAAATGAAAGACAAATAGGTAATCGAAATAACAAGGAGATTAAATGCAAGAACAATTAACAACCTATGAATATTTGGGAAATATACTGACAGAAGATGGATAAATAGAAGCAAAATTAACAAGCGGATCGAACAAATCTTTCAAAATATACTATTTATTAAACAAAACTACTGGGACATAAAAATATCCAAACCGACTTAAAAATGAAAATTCAACACATAATAACAATACTGACAGTAACCTATGTCTGCAAAACTAGGTATTTTGCAAGAAAGATGAAATAAAATTAATGCTATGGAAATAAAACATTACAGGTTTTATTTCATTTATAATTTGAATTTTATGATGTAATGATTCTTAAGTTATTATGATTTTGCTTAAAAATAGATAGTAAAGCGTGGGTCCTCAGCATTGACCAACGCAATTAATTCCAAAAGTGAAGATATTACTGTTCTGAAAAAGATATTACTTCTCTTGGAGATAGTTGGAGCCATGTGTATGTACTTAGACCTCTCTAGAGGTACTGGGGGCTACCAGGAGGTGCTTGGAGGTACTTGAAGCCACCTGGAGGTACTTGGATATTCTGGGAGCTACCTGGAGGTGATTGGAGTAACTGACAATGCTATTTATTACTAGCATAATACCAGATCAAAGATAAACTATATTATATTGAGGAATACACAAAATTTAACCGGCTCGACGTTAAATTTTAAACAATTAGGTTTGGTTCCGTCGCGATGAAATGATCCAGCTGGCAATCGACTATCGGATAGACCGGCGCGTGAGATCGCTTTAGCAGAAAAGAAGAATGTGGAGACGGGATGGATACGAGGAGTCTCTGAACATTCCTTGTTTTTATATTAATATAGATAGTTAGAAATAGATGAGGTGAAAACTTTGGCAAGAGACAGAAATGCCTGGAAATCATGGTACAAGAGAATTTAAGAAATCGTTTTCCGAGGCCTAACAAGATAAAAAGAACCCGTGAAGAAAAAGTTACAAATTAAAAATAGATTGTTCCAATAATTCGAAAACTGTTAAACAATTCGTGTTGAAAGAAAATAGAAATATGATCTTGTTAAAGTAATTGAGTGAGTTCGAAAACCATACAAGTCCAAAATTTGACATTTTAAATTAAGGTAGCCATTTTATTTAAAATTTGTCTCTTAATCGATTGAGCTTAAAAACCGTACTAGATACCTAGCCGTTAACATAGTATAGCTGATTACACCCGTGAAATCAGGAGAAAAGCCGTACATGTCCGTGACTCCTACGGTTTTTCATCTCAACAACAAAATAATGGTCAATTGCTATAGGGCGAGATTACAGAAAAAGCAAGCCTGCAACTTTGCATATCTGCAAATATGACGGATTTACAGATGCAAGTATCAATTTTTCGTATTCCAAAAAGCATCTGCAAATCTGCCATATTTATTGTGGTTTATTACCCCTTAACAAACAATAGACCCAAAACCATTACTGCGTTAATCTCACACAACGAACTATGTTCAATCAATAGCAACAGAAAACTTAATGTTTATTAAAAAAAAAAAATATCGCGACGAATTGAGAACCTCCTCCTTTTTTGAAGTCTGTTAAAAAAAAATACAAAATGGACATTCCGCAAGTTTACAGGATGTTCCAACCTCCTGCAGAGTTACAGATGATTTGCAGACACAAAAAGTGAAAACACGTTTCTGTAATACCATGTTTCTCTTTTGCGATTGCAACTGATAGTTACAGATGCAAGTACGATTTGCAGAGCTTCTGTAGTCTCACTCATAGTCAGTTGGAAAACCACAAATGCTGAAAATGATGATTAGATGACTGAGTTTTGATATGTATTTTTCCTCCGTTTTGAATAAATATTAATTAAATTCTATGGCATAAGGCTGAAGTCTCTGATGTACATAATGTGTCATCATAGGCGCCGAATCCTCGGGGCTCAGGGTGCTCAAGCACCCAGAGCAGTTTTAAACAGGGTGCGGAGCACCCATAGCACAATGCGGACTAAAAGTGTCAATAAGTTAAATGAAGAAGCTGTCGTGGCCCAAGTTGGTATTGCTACAGATACCTCAATAAAATATAAAACTTGGACTTAGGGTTTATTATTCTTGGTGTATAAAACCCTATGACGTCAAAACAGAAAGATAATAACGGTCTATAATTATGAAGACAAAATCTTTGTACATATGCCATTGAGCAAATGCTTGAGAGGAAAAGGGAGAACATTTGAAAGTTGCTCCCGATAAAACACCGTTAGAAGCACCATTTAGAGTTAGAAACAGTACTGCTGGCGAGAAAAGGGCATCTACTGAAAAACGCTTACGACCCTTCAATTTTGTTTTTTAGGGAGAAACATTATTTTGACAGTTTCACCCTCTGAGCGGAAACCCTCTATCGGAGGTGAGACTCACCAGTTATATCTTAAATGGAAAGATTGGCGAATAATATGTTATTTTGAAGGTATTTTTATCTAGATAATAACCCTCAAGTTTAACATCTCTACTATCTATGTAGCCCATACAGTGGCTCACCAAAAGTACAAAAACGGTTTAACATAATTTTTACATTATTATTAAAAAAAAAGGAATTCTTTGTAAAAATTCTACTTTTATTCCTGTGGCTTTCAATTAATATCAGATGACATTCTTTGGTCGCCGTAAAGTAGTAAGGTTTAGTTGTAAAGTCGGCATAAAAGTTGCATATCAGTGATAATGGTTTATTGCTGAGAGGGTGCAAATAATTTCACTTTTTTTGCGAACAATGAATGTGCTAATAGAACTGCATAACTGTTTAACAATTAACATCAAAATCGAAACTACATTTTGGAGTTAGTCCAAACATTTTGGAAAACGGGGTCAGTAGCTAACAAATAACGTGAAATGGAAAATTCTGTAGCAAATGAAGCTACAGAGGTGGCGATTTTAGGACATGTTGTTTAAGAACCCATATTGAGTACAAGACAGTTGGCGATAACATCTTGTATTAAGAGACGTAGCATTCAGAAGATACTGAAAAAATACATCTGGTAAAAGAACTTAACGAAGACGATTTTGATAGGCGAATACAATTTTGTGAAATTATGACTGAACGGGCGTTACCTTTTTTTTTTCAAGAAAATTTTTTATAAAATCAACATTAAAATGTCTTTTTAAAAAACCGGCGGTGCCTTTAAGTGAGGTGTGGAAGTTGGGGGGGATATCCCCCATTTTTCGCATAGAAGCCGGGCACCCAAAGCAATTTTTGAATTCCGGCGCCTATGTGTGTCATCCTTCAAAAAGGTATATAGAGTTTAAATACAAAATCTATTAATAAATTAAATCATTTGGGCCAGGATAGAAATTTTGATTTTTTTTCAACAAATTTTTTTTGAAAAAATAGATTATTTTGTTTGCGAAATAAGAGAATTTTAAAATAAATAATGTAGATTGGTGACTGAAAGGGTTTTAACATATTTAAAAAAAATTCTGCTTTATGCAGTTTCAGTGATGATATTCCTCAATTAATTGTTCTTTTATTATTTTCACTTCTGTTTTCATAAAACCCGTTGCATGGTTAAACAATAGGTGCACCTGGACACCTTGTATAGGAGTCAATTTTTTTTTGTAACTACATATCGAAAAATTTACCGTAATGTAAGAATATATAAAATAAACTACTTTTTATTCGAATGTGTCAAAAAACTTCGGTTTTTGACCAGAAAACAAAGTCGAAAAGTAGAACTTTTATATATTATATTTCATAAAGTACTTTATCGGCCATGGCATATAAAATTGAGTGTATAAAGTGTTGCATACCGATTAGAATTCTTAAATCTTATACCATTTTTGATTTTTTTTTTAATCCAATTCAAAGACGCCAAATTTGCCCGCGTTTCCAATTTATGGGGGCGTGTCCATAATGCATTCTTCGTCACTACTTATTTTTGTCATTTTTTTGACACTAATTTTTAATAAATTAGGTAATTAAATTAATTTAACATGAGCACATTGACACGACAGGAATTGTTCAATTGTTCTCATAGCCAACTCAGTTAAGGAAATATTTCAGATTTAATTTTCTATATATTTTTTAATAACAGCACATTCGAATAAGAAACAATGTATGAAACACGGACGAAAAGTGTTTTTTTCGGACTTCTAGCAAACTTCTCATAGTCGCCCGATTAACTTAACTTTTCGTCCTACTATTTTCTAATTTTGACATAAAGTGACATTTTTTATAATCGCAGCAAGTGTCAAAATTATCTACTTTACGCAACCAGTTACATAATGTTAAACATTATGAAACTGGTTTCGAAAAATTCATTACGTCACCAGTTACGAAAAGAAAACAAAAATGGAGCTTCTTTTTGGTTTTAAAACCAATAATATGCATTATTATTGAAAGTTTATATCAAAGAAGGCCAGATTGACTTACAAAAATAAAATTTAGTTAATTTTACAACCTAGTAATAATACTTTGGGCTGCCAGATTTTCAGAAATGAAAAGCGGGAGGTTTAAATTTTTGAAAAAAAAATATTTATACAAATACCTACTAAATATACAAAGATATTATTGTAGCATCAAAAAAAACAAATTTCAATGCCCGAT